GGCCAAGGTGCATGCCATCCAGGAGTGGGAGCCTCCCAGCTCAGTCCCCGAGCTGCGATCATTCCTTGGCCTAGTCAACTACTATCGTCGGTTCATCCAGGGGTATTCGGCAAGGGCCACACCCTTGACAGACTTGCTCAAGAAGAAGGTCTCGTGGGAGTGGACAACAGAGTGTCAACGAGCCTTTGAGGACTTGAAGCAAGCGGTGAGCCAAGAACCAGTGCTCGCATTGCCCGACTATGGGAAGCCTTTCGAGATGCACACTGATGCGTCCAACTTGGCGATCGGAGGAGTCTTGATGCAAGATGGCCATCCTATAGCGTTTGAGAGCCGTAAGCTCAATGACACAGAGAGGAGGTACCCGGTGCATGACAAGGAGATGACTGCCATCGTCCATTGCTTGCAGGTCTGGCGCCATTACTTGCTTGGGAGCAGGTTCGTGATTAAGACTGATAATGTAGCTATGAGCTACTTCCAGAGGCAGAAGAAGCTCACGCCCAAGCAAGCAAGATGGTAAGACTTCTTGGCCGAATTTGACTATGTGATGGAGTACAAGCCTGGACGGCCTAACGTTGTGGTAGACGCACTGAGCCGCAAGGCTATGTTCGCCTCCATCAGTCAACCTGAGGGTGACATACTGGATCGTGTCAAGGAGGGCCTGGCACATGATCCCTTCGCCAAGAGTCTTATGGAGCTGGCTCGTGAGGGCAAAACGCGACGATTCTGGTGCAATGATGGTGCTCTATATACTGTGGGGAATCGCCTATATATCCCGAAGTGGGAGAATTTACGACAGGAGCTGATGAAGGAGTGCCACGACTCGAGGTGGGCTGGACATCCAGGAATCAAGCGCACCATGGCACTGGTGGAAGAATTATATTACTAGCCATGGATGCGGGATGACGTTGAGGCCTATGTAAGGACGTGCCTAGTGTACCAGCAAGACAAAATCGAGTAGCGGCAACTTGGGGGCCTCTTGGAGCCCCTGCCAGCCCCAGAACGCCCATGGGAGTGTGTCACCATGGACTTCATCTCAGCTCTCCCACAGTCTGAAGGGTGCGGGTCTATACTGGTCATAGTTGATTGATTCTCAAAGTATGGAACCTTCATCCTAGCCCCACGGGATTGCAAGGCAGAGGAAGCAGCACGCTTATTTTTCCAGCACGCTTATTTTTCAAGCACGTGGTGAAGTATTGGGGGCTTCCTCGCATCATCATTAGCGATCGGGATCCAAGGTTCACCGGGAAGTTTTGGAGGGAACTCTTCAAGCTCATGGGATCAGACCTCCACTTCTCTCCGAGCTTTCATCCGCAGACGGACGGGCAAACGGAGCGGGTGAATGCACTATTGGAGCTATATTTACGGCATTTTGTGAGTGCCAATCAACATGACTGGGCAAAGTTGTTGGACGTGGCACAATTTTCCTTCAATCTGCAGCGGCGTGAGGCCACCCAGCAAAGCCCCTTTAAGATCGTGACAGGCCAACAACCGTTGCCCCCTCACTATGTGACGCGAGGCTATACTGGTGCAAGTCCTGCTGCATACAACTGGGCAAAAGATTGGCAGGAGCAGGTGGATGTGGCTAAAGTTTACTTGGATAAGGCCTCCAAAAAGATGAAGAAGTGGGCAGACAAAGAGCGACGGCCACTGGAATTCCAAGTGGGCGACCTTGTGATGGTGAAGCTACCAGCCCAACAGTTCAAAGCTTATCGACAAGTCCACAAGGGGCTGGTGCGTCGATACGAGGGACCCTATTCGGTTCTTGGAAAGGTAGGAAAGGTGTCTTACCGTGTCGATCTTCCACCAAGGCTGAAGATACACCCGGTATTCCATGTGAGCATGCTCAAGCCATTCCATGCAGATCAGGAGGATCCAGTGCGAGGCGTGTCACAACGAGCACCACCAGCGACCATAACCTCGTATGACAAGCAAGTGAGTGAGATCTTAGCTGATCGAGTCATTCGGCAACGGGGAGTTCCCAACCACACAGAGTACCTGGTCAAGTGGAAGGATTAGCTCGATGACGAGGCCAGCTGGGAACGCGAGGAAGACTTGTGGCAGTTCTTGAGCACCATCGAGGCCTACAAGATCAGGAAGCTTGACGAGGGCGTCAAGAGCTTTGGTGGGGGAGAGTGTCACGGACCGCGAGCTCGGACGCCCAAGAAAAGGGTCACAATGCCAGGATCGCGGTGCAATGTCGTGGACTCAACGGCCTAGCGCGCTCATGATGGCATTGTCGCAAGCGGGAACAGTGTCGACACTCCGAGAACAAGCCAAAATCATGGTGTCGACACCTGTGTGACAGACTGGAACAGCCCAAAATGTTCTAGAAGCTGCTGGGCGCGTGGGAATCACACCAGAAAAGGGTCTGGACGGGCCCATTGGGCCTAACTCATGTAAATATCTTCCTAGGGCCTTGTAGATAGTTCTAGAAATGGATTGTTCTAGAATATTATAGGCTAGGCTAGAAGGGAAGGTTTGAGAGTGTTCTAGAAAGTATAAATATGAGAACTCTTTGGGAATGTTCTAGAACCTCTACCTAGAGTGGCTGGCTTCATCTATAAATAGGAGGAGCCTCTGAAGGCAGAGGGCACTAAGCCAAGCATTGCCCAAACTCTTATAAATTTTCCTTGCGTCTAATAAACTCTCATTTCCTCCCAACTTCCAACCTTTGCATTTTAAGCTTCACAAGCCTCTTTGTCCCATAGGTGGATTGTGCCCAGCACCAAGGGAAGGCTGACTTGGTTTGGTTAAGGGGTGAAATCCAAGTTAAGTGCCGCACGGTGACTAGCAAGAGCCTCGTCCCTTGACAAACAGCTCTTAAAAATATCATAAAAAAAGGAGGAGGAGAAGATCGTATTGAGGTTGAACATGGATATCAAGGGGACGATCAGGATGAAGCCTACAAGAATTGCCCAACCCGTGGCGAGGGAATGGGACGGCTACTTTGTTTGCTGTAGTTTTCAACCCAGATACTTCCAAATTGTAATTCTCC